TTCTCTCTCACGCTTTCTTTCTCTCTCATTCTTTCTGTCATTTCTCTCGCGTGTTCTGTCACATTACCTCTCGCGTTTTCTCACTTTTTCTCTCTCTCTCTCTCACGCTCTCGCTTTCTGTCTGAATTTTTTCTCATCATCTGCCTCGCATTACCTCTCTCGTTTTCTCACTCTTTCACTCTCTTTCGACCTCTCTCTCACGCTCCCCCTTTCTGTCTCACTCTTTCTCGTCGTCTCTCTTGCATTACTCTTTCTCTCGCTCTTTTTCTCTCACACTCTCGCTTTCTGTCTCACTTTTTCTCGTCATCTCTCCCACATTACCTGTCTTGTTTTCTAACTCTTTCACTCTCTCTGCCACTTTTTTCTCTCACGCTCTCTCTTTTTGTCTCACTCTTTCTTGTCATCTGTCCGGTATTACCTCTCTTGTTTTCTCACTCTTTCACTTTTTCTCAATCTCTTTCTCTCACACTCTTGCTTTCTGTCTCACTCTTTCTTTCTGTCATCTCTGTCACACTCTCCCTCTATCTCTCTCGCATTACCTCTCTGGCTTTCTCACTCTTTCTCTCACTCTCTCACTCACACACATCTCTGTCTCTCTCTCTGTCTTTCTTTTACTCACGCTTTCATGTTCTTTCTCTCTTGCTCTCTCGCTCTTTGTTTCGCTCTTGTACTCTTTTTCTCAACCTCTCTTTATCTCTTACGCGCTCCTTTTCTGTCTCATTCTCTCTCGTCATCTCTCCAGCATTATTTTCTCACTCTTTCTCTATCTCTCGACCACTGTTTCTCTCTCACGCTCTCTCTTTCTGTCTCACTCTTTCTCGTCATCTCTCCCACTTTACCTCTTTCGCTTTCTCACTCTTTCATTCTCTCTCTCTCTACCTCTGCTTCTCTCTCATGCTCTCTCTCTGTCTCACTCTTTCCATCATCTCTCTTGCACTCTCACTCTCTCTCTTGCATTACTTCTCTCTCTTTCTCACTCTTTCACTCTCTCTCAACCACTCTTTCTCTCTCACGCTCTCTCTTTCTGTCTCACTCTTTCTCATCATCTCTCTCGCAATCTCCCTCTCTCATATTACCTTTCGCGCTTTCTGGGTGAGCTTTCTGTTACTCTCTTGACCACACTTTTGCCTCTGTCTCTCTTTGTCTCTCTCTCTCTCTGTCTGTCTCTCATTCTCTCTCTCTCGCTCTCACTCTTTCTTTCGCTCTTGCACTCACTCTCTTGCTCTCTCTGTCTCTCTCTCTTGCCCCTCTTTCTCTCAAGTTCTCTCTCTTTCTGTCTCACTCTTTCTCATCATCTCTCTAGCACACTCCCTCACTCTCTCTCTTTACCTCTCTGGCTTTCTCACTCTTTCTCTCACTCTCTCTCTCTCGACCTCTCTGTTTCGCTCTGTCTGTCTCTCTCTCCCACTCTCTCTCTCTCTCTCTCTGTCTGTCTCTCATTCTCTCTCTCACTCTTTCTTTCGCTCTTGCACTCACTCTCTTGCACTCCCTGTCGCTCTCTCTTGCCCCTCTTTTTCTCTCAAGCTCTCTCTTTTCTGTCTCGCTCTTTCTCGTCATCTCTCTCGCACTCTCACTCATTCTCTTGTACCTCTCTCGCTTTCTCCCTCTTTCTCTCACTCTCTCTCTCTTTGACCTCTCTCGCTCTGTCTGTCTCTCTCTGTCTGTCTCCCATTCTCTTAATCTCACTCTCTTTCTCTCTCACGCCCTCTCACTCTCTCTCTTTCTCATAATCTCTTGTAATCTCACTCTCTCTCATTACCTCTCTCGCTTTCTCACTCTTTCTCTCACTCGCTCTCTTGACCTCTCTGTTTCGCTCTCTCTCTCTGTCTCTCTCTCCGTGTGTGGGGGGGTCTCGGTTTAAAGGGGAGCTTCCTGGCCGGGGAGATGCAATCACGGGCCGAGATCTGATTGCGCCGGAGGAAATAGACCCAGAGCCGAGCTGATGGAGAGATGACTCCTCTGTCACTGCGTCAGCCCGTCCCCCGCTAACCTGAGGCCAATCAATCACTCCGGAGAGAGGGGGAGGGAGGAGAGAGAGACAGGTAGAGAGAGAGAGCTGAGAGAGAGTTATAGAGTTATAGAGGGAGAGGCCGTGACAGAGATATTTAAAGAGACAGAGAGAGTGCAAGAGAGAGACATAGAGAGATTTAAAGAGAAAGAAAGAGAGAGACAGAGAGATTTAAAGAAAGAGAGAGACAGAGAGATTTAAAGAAAGAGAGCGACAGAGAGATTTAAAGAAAGAGAGCGACAGAGAGATTTAAAGAAAGAGACATGGAGAGATTTAAAGAAAGAGAGAGACAGAGAGATTTAAAGAAAGAGACATGGAGAGATTTAAAGAAAGAGAGAGACAGAGATTTAAAGAAAGAGAGAGATAGAGAGATTTAAAGAAAGAGAGAGACAGAGAGATTTAAAGAAAGAGACATGGAGAGATTTAAAGAAAGAGAGAGACATAGAGATTTAAAGAGAGAGAGGAGCATAGAGAGATTTAAAGAGAGAGACATAGAGACATTTAAAGAAAGAGAGACAGATTTAAAGAAAGAGAGAGACACAGACATTTAAAGAGAGACAGATTTAAAGAAAAAGAGAGACACAGACATTTAAAGAAAGAGAGAGACAGATTTAAAGAAAGAGACAGACAGACATTTAAAGAGAAAGAAGACAGATAAAGAAAAGAGAGACACAGACATTTAAAGAAAGAGAGAGACAGATTTAAAGAAAGAGACATAGAAATATTTAGAGAAAGAGACATAGAGAGATTTAAAGAGAAAGAGAGACATAGAGAGATTTAAAGAGAAAGAGAGACATAGAGAGATTTAAAGAGAAAGAGACATAGAGAGATTTAAAGAGAAAGAGAGACATAGAGAGATTTAAAGAGAAAGAGACATAGAGAGATTTAAAGAGAAAGAGACATAGAGAGATTTAAAGAGAAAGAGAGACATAGAGAGATTTAAAGAGAAAGAGACATAGAGAGATTTAAAGAGAAAGAGACATTGAGAGATTTAAAGAGAAAGAGAGACAGAGAGATTGAAAGAAACAGAGAGACATAAAGAGATTTAAAGAGAGAAAGGGAGAGAGGTAGAGATTTACAGAGAGCAAAAGAGAGCGATATTTAGAGGTAAAGAGAGAGGTAACGATAGAGGGTGCGAGAAAGAGATAGAGAAAGAGGCAGACAGAGAGTGCAAGAGAGGTACAGGGAAAAAGAGACGGGTAGAGAGAGGTAAAGAGATAGGTTGAGAGAGAGAGTGCAAGAGCGATAGACAGAGCAACAGAGAGAAGTACAGGAAGGAAGGACAGAGGTAGAGAGAGTTAGAGAGAGATTCAGAGAGTGCAAGAGAGAGGAGGAAAGATTTAGAGAGAAAGAATGGAAGAAAGCACGAGAGACAGAAAGGGAGAGGGCACAAGAGAAAGAAGTAGAGAGATTGAGAGTTGTAGAGAGATTTAGAGAGAGCAGGAGAGAGAGATGGATAGATGGATGGATGTTCCTGGCCTGGTGCTGCCAGTTTTAGGCACGTTTTGTTCTGAATGATACGAGAATTTTCAAGAGAAGATGTTTTTTTGAGAGTCACGTGATACAAATTAGCGGGCGTCGTTGGATCGTCTCAAGATAAAGACGGAGGATTTTCTCGCTCTGTAGTCTTGTTCCAGTCCCTTCTGGATTCAAACAGAATGTGGAAGAGACAGGCTGTTCAGGCAACAAAAAGACCACAGTATGACGATATACCATGAAGTCACCTATTTTTATGCTTAGAACAAAGGACTTCTGAACTACAAACATGTTGTTGTGCTCTGCCTTTTTGGTTTTTGTTTTTTGGGAAAACACAGATCTATTATCCAGATTAAACAAGTACATTTTGTGTAGATTTTATGTCTACATCAGATAACTCTTTTTCTGATTGTTTATGATTTTATAAACAATCAGAATATTTGTGGCTTGTTAGGTGTGTGTATATTGACCAAAAGTTTGAACTCAAGTCTGCGAGAAGCTTTTTCCCAGTAAAATAAATGTTCTGTCAAAACCAAAACACCCATTCTACCAGGGCATTTTACCAAGACCAACTAATCAACACTAAACTAAACTAAATCAATCAACACTAAACTAGTATCAAAACTACTCATTTATTAAAGAGGTGGTATTATTATGCAGAACTGACTTTTTGAGATGACTATGTTGTAACAGTTTTCCCCATCAGAACATGTTTTTGTCATCTGTGCCCCCACATGGTCATTTTTCATGAATATACAAAAGCAGGAAACAAAATGAAGCATTAAGTGAATCTGATTAAACATGTTAATATGATTTTTTTTTTTTGTAAATTTAAGCAATAATGGTCCAATAAAGGTCCAGTCCTGGTCCCTAGTGCAGCTCTGTGTGTGAGCTTTATAAAATGAAATCGTGTCATTCATCTGAGTCAGTCCGGTGTCGGTGTTTGAGTCGGATCAGATGGAGCTGTAGTGCACATTAGCATAGTAAATGGCTCATTAGTTGCTAGCATTAGCAGCTCCTGTCTGACAGTATCTCTGTACCACATCATGAACTATCTCTGCTGCTGCAGTCTGCTCTCCTCACTCTGAAGGATTTATGCTCACCAGAGGAGCATGTGACAGGTTTACAGGTAACATCTGCACACTGGCTGAGTGGTGCACACTCATGCTTCACAGCGAGGTTCTGGATTCGATCCTTGGCTTGTTCTGTGTGTGAATAAATGCAAATGAGATGAATAAAAGTTGTAGTATTAAAATGTAAAACTCAGTTATTAGGGATGAATCTCCTGGTGGAGAATGTTTGAAATACTGGTCCTGGATGATTACATTTGACCTTTTCTACCACAGTTTAGAATCTTACTATGGCCCAAACGGAAACAGAAATATTCATTTTTCAACCAGTCAAAAGTTCCAAACAACATGTGCAGTGCATATTGATCCCCCTCTCACTGTTGATCTTTCATTTCTTGTTGTCAGTAGTGTTTGTGCAAGGCTTATCTGTGCACTTGTGTTTGCAGTGTCCGGATGTGTGTGAGGAGTCGGCCTCTCCGTTCGTCTTCCTCTGCTCCAGCCCTCAGGAGCTGCTCGTCAAGTTCCCCATGAAAGGAAAGCACAAGATCTGTGAGTCCTGCTTCTCTTCACACATGTCTGTCTGCACTCTTGTGTCGCTGTGTCCACTGTTTTTCACAGCACATTGAAATTTAGTTTGAGTTTTAGTCCTTTGAAGATTTTTACAAGAGGTAAGATAGATGGGATTTTGTTGACATCATTTCATTCAGTTATTTGTCAGACTGTATGGTGTAGTACAGCAGTATTTTCAATGTTTGCATTGACATAATTATTAGCACAATTTATGAAAATGCATTTTCTACTCATTTGCATTTGACATCACGTTCTGATACAACATATCATGTATGACATTCTGATATGACATCACATTCTTCCTTCTTTTTGTATGGGAAGATTAAATTCTGCCCATTCATGAGAATTCAGTTCAACAGTAACTGAATGAAAATGCTGCCCTGACATTTACCACGCACACTGGTGACTCATTAAAAAGGATCACGTTTTATTCGCCACATGTTGAGCGTCAGGAGTAGATATTAAACTGCTGCCTCCTGTGTCCTGATAAACGGGGCTTGATTTGCTTCACCCTAAGGAGCGGCATAGTGTTATTTAACTACACAACATTTGAATTTGCCTGCAGCTTTATAATCCGAATCTCTGCTCAGACTTGTGTTAAGGAGCTTTGTTTGGTCATTTTCTGGGATGAAGTTGAATTTGATGTATGTTTTCTAGTGTGTGTTTTCTAGTGCTGTCATAGATTTTAAAAAATGAATCAGATTACTCACACTTTTCCAATCTAATCAATCATGATCAATCACATGCACAGTGATTTATATTTATTCAGTTTAGCTAGAAGAAAGTTGGCGCAGAGAACAGTCTATGAGGTTACTAGGCCTTGAGTTGACTTAAGGAAGGTTTGGTTGACTAAAGACATGTCCTGCTGATCGATTAATCAACTAAAAGACAAAAGATCTCAAAACTATTCCGTATTTTATGTATCTGACCCAAAGTGCATTCTCAAGACGACACCTGCAAGAAGAGTTCATGCACAAACAACTATTTATGAAGGGAAAAAATGCTAGATAACTATGCATTTATATAAGGACAGATTAAAACTTGTGAATCATGAGTTTAATCTGCTTTTTTACTTTTTAGAACACCACACTTTTCTAGTTTTTTACTGTTTACTGTTGACCAAATCGTATTCTAAACTTTTGATTGATGAAAGTGTCCACCTTTGGCAGATAGAACAGCTGAACACACTCGCGGCTCGTTCTTTTTACAATAGAAATCAAATATTGTTCAGAAAGTTCTTCCCGAGTCTGTCGCAGAAGTTTCCATAAATGTGTGGCACTTGTAGGTTGCTTCACTCTTCTGTCCAGTTCATCCCAAACCAGCTCCATGGGGTTTAAGTCTGGACACTTCATGTTTTCAAGCTTTACCATCTTGTTCTTTTTTCCGGAGGTAGTTTTGGCAGAGCTTGGACTTGTGTTTTGTATCTTTTATCTTTTTTTTAACCTCTGTCTGTTCAGTTCTTACCTTTGTATAATTTCAAGCTCTTCATTGGACTTGCTCGACTTGAATTGCAATAAAATCTAATAAAAAATTAGGGTGTTCTAAAACTTTTGAACGGTAGTGTATAATCAAAACTAATACACATTTTGATAAAGTAAGACCAATTAATCGAATAAATGACTAAAGCCCTACAGTTTACAGTCTACAGCTCTAGAGTTTACGGCCCAGCAACATCCTGTGCCTGCTGACCCCAACCTCTCGAGTCAAGATAAAGGTCCTACATTACACAAAATGGACTCTTGTGAGCTTTTAGACATGTTAGAATGTTTTTACCTCATCAAAAACATATCTGGAGTTGTGTTTTGTTTCATTCACACATGTTAAACCTGAGTAACCCTTTATTATTATTCTGTTTACATTTCCAAAGCTCAAAATGCTCTGTTCCACTGCTCTGTGATGTTATGAAGCTGTAATTTTGAAGTTAACAACTCCTTTTACCTTCAGTTCAGTAGAGATTGGGAGATCCCAGACTGAAATGATCCAAATGATTCTAGTGAAGATGTATGGAGTTTAAAAACACAGTGGAGCATTTCCTGGGTTGAGCTGTAATGCGGTATTAAGGTATCTGGCGGGATCAAAAAGTAAACAACGGTATTGGTTTCATTACCGTCATTTAAAAAATCTATCACGTAAGGACCTAATATAATGTTATGACGAGATGGCAAGTCCAGCTGCAAGTGAGTTGGTCCCAAAAAAAAAAAAAAAAAATTAGTACTTCTACAATTTGGCAGCATTTTGGCTTCAGGTCGAATGAGAGGCGAGAGCCAGCAAATGTTGACAAGGCTGTACGCAAAATATGTATGAAGACGGTGACGGCAAGAGATGGAAACTCCGCAAATCTCAGGGTTAGTGAAAAGTAAAGGAACGGAGAAGATGGAAACTTTAGTAAAAGTAATTTATTGTTTTATCATTATTCGTTTCACGTTGTAGTTCTTCTTCTTCACTTGCCGCTTGATCGGTCCGTCGGAAAATAGAGTCCCGCGGTCACTTCCGTTGTGGCTTTTTAATGTGTTGTGGCTTTTTAATGTGTTGCGGCATTTGCGTTTGCGTTGTGGCATTTGTATTTGTTGTGGCGTTTGTATTTGTTGCGGCGTTTGCATTAAAATAGAGTCCCGCGATCATTTCCGTTGTGGCTTTTTTTGGTTTGTTGTGGTTTTTCGTTGCATTGTCGCACTTGTATTTGCTGCGGCGTTTGCGTTTGCTGTGACCCCTCTCGGCTTCCGTACAGAACAGACTCACCATCAGCAGAACACCCCTCTGTCGCAGAAAGAACACTCACATTCCACTGAGTCATGTCCTTTAGTCCGACAGAATCTGAACCGCATCAGCGCACAATAACTGAGCTGTTTTTTGAGCGCTTAGTTTTTGCAAATGAGCCATGCGGTTTTACGCTTTGTTTCTGTAAAACGTAAACAAATGTGCTCAAAGCTGTGTGGATAGGGAAGACTTTCGGACACAGATTGTTTCCGATACAGTGATACAGTGATTCGTTTTAGTGTAAACGGAGCCAAAATCTTCATGAACAAGCAGGTGACAGACCCTCCACCAGAAAAAGCTGCGCAGTGCACCTTTAAAAATGTCCCTCATCCTCTCACAGTGTAAAAATCAAGTACTGCAGCTGTAAATGAACAGTAAAATAAACATTCAGCTCTTCTTCCCTCCGCAAAGTGTCAGCTGCTAATGAACCGCTAACAGTGCCCACCAGGACGTCACACACACACACACACACCGACACTTTCCTCCAAGTTCTTCGGCGTAATGACTGCACCTGCAAACGTAATCCCTGTATTTACCGCTGTCTCCCACGCGCGTTTAATGGGAGCCTTAAGAGCGGGGCGTACGAGGAAGTGAAGGTGGTCCCGCTCACAAGTCTAATCCCCTCTGACGCTCACTGCGCTACTGACTCCGCACCTCCATTATTACCGCGTTATGATAAAGGCAGGACCAGAGGAGCCGTAGATAAAAGTCACACGGAGTTTTATGGGGAGTGTAACTTGAAGGGCGGTCAAGAACATTTCACTACATCTGCTGTTATTGGGCCTGTAAACTTACTATACTTGCATGGTGCTTTATTTAAAGAGCCTATGACAGATTGGACTACTTATTTTACTAAAACACAGTTAAGATCACTATATTGCAAGAACATTCATACTCGTTTTCACAGTTTGGCCAATTTTAGGTTTAACTCTTTCCCCCTATTAGGAACAACCCATACATATATGACTAGGCTTACCCATAGAACATAACTGCATAAAAGAAAACAGACTTCCACGAGTGATTATAAATGATTCTCACACTCATGAACTTAATTGAAACACAGACATATTAGGTATTTCGGTAACACTTTATAATAACTACACCTTATTTAGCCTTAATAAAGCATGAACAAAGACTTAATTAATAATGATTCACACTTAGTAACTACTTAATTACCACCTGAATTAGCACTTAACTTGCACTTAATTCACCTGTGCTGTAAATAGTTACTCATAAGTATTTCTTACTTAATTACTCATGAACTAACCATTTGTGTGCATTTGTAAATGTATATTTAAGTACAAATTTGAGCATTTATTAATGATTAGTAAGCCAGGAGAGAATGATTTACTAGTAATACATTACTGTTTCTCTGGAATTTGACCAAACTTAACAAATGCTTAATAAACATAATTAGTCTTCACTTTAGAAAAGCTCTCAGAAAGACTTAACTAACAGATAACATCTGCCTGAATGATCATTGCATTGCATTATTAGTAAATCATTCTCTCATAGCTTATTAATCATTAATAAATGCTCAAATGTGAACTTAAATATGCATTTGTAAACATGCAAATGGTTAGTTCACGAGTAATTAAGAAGTATTGAGTTACTATTTACAGCACAGGCAAATTAAGTGCAAGTTAAGTGCTAATTCAGGTGGTAATTAAGTAGTTACTAAGCCTGAATCATTATTAATTAAGTCTTTGTTCATGCTTTATTAAGGCTAAATAAGGTGTAGTTATTATAAAGTGTTACCGGTATTTCTGGAAACCTTAGACTCTGAACTCTTCATTTCTGGATGTTTAAATGTGATTCAACTCATTTACAGGTTTATAACAGCTCACTGAAAATGAGAGTTTACCTGGTCAGGTGCAAAATCCAAAACAAAAAACTACATCAGCATCTGATATCTGCATGTTCTGAGTATTATATTCATTAAAAAAAATTTAAATATATTTGTCAAAGTATTTAAACAGATTTCATATCACCAGATAAAATATAGCCAAGTGTACACCTGTTTTTACCTGTTGTACACCTGTGTGGACCTAATTCATTTTTTCCATTTAACTTATTCGACTCATTTAGCTTATTATAATGTCATAATATAATAATAAAACTCTTCCTTGTCAGTGGGGGTTCAGTATTTGTCATCTTGGTTACTTTCTCGTGCACAGAGCTCCACATAAGCGTTTGTTTCTGTAGTGATTCTGTCATCCATC